GTGTGTGTGTGTGTGTGTGTGTGTGTGTGTGTGTATGTAAGTATGTAGGAATATATATATATGTGTGTGTGTGTGTGTGTGTGTGTGTGTGTGTGTGTGCGTATATGTATGTATAAATGCATAGTATGTATGTATGTATATGTGTATGAATGTATGTGTACGTATGTATGTATATACATATTCGACTCGTACATGATCATTTGTAGTCTCTACTCACACACATACGCATCCAACTTCATACTATGTATACACACATATATCCCATGGTCATACATACATACCTACCTGCAACCCAAGTTTCTATGTACTAGTCTTCAACTCATGAATTTATATATAGCTTGTATGTTGTGTATGTATCTTCCTATTTAGATTCTCCATATATATAGCTTATATGTTGTGTATGTATATTCCTATTTAGATTCTCCATATATATAGCTTGTATGTTGTGTATTATATATAGCTTGTATGTTGTGTATGTATTTTCCTATTTAGATTCTCCATATGTATAGCTTGTATGTTGTGTATGTATTTTCCTATTTAGATTCACCAATCACATACAGGTATGCCAGAGAGTCAGAGTACGATCCACACTGCAGTTGCGCATGAACGAAATGGCTTTGATTCGTTTCAAACACACAAAAGAAATGTTACTGATGTTCACGTGCCAGACAGACAAAGGGGGGGGGGCGATTGTGTGTGAAACTATTTATATTTCACATTCTATTAATAACCACCAATCAATTGCCGGCAGGCAGACGACGCCCAGAGTAACTCTCCACCAATTCTATTTATATCCACCAATCACATGCAGGCACGCCAAGCAGACAGCGTCGCCACTCGACTGCGTGTGCGGATGATCCAGACGGTACTGAAGCTGTGGGTGCGATGCGCGCTACAGACCAACTCACAAGACGAACTCAACGTCGACGCATGGGACTACTTTATGAGCGTCATGGCCAGCAAGACAAAGGTGTGCGATGGGCTGTGTTTACGTATACGGGGAGGGTGTTGTGTGTATGATATATGTGTAAAGTACGTTTATAAGCGTCATGGCCAGCAAGACAAAGGTGTGCTATGGACTGTGTACGTATACGGGGAGGGTGTTGTGTGTATGTTATATGTGGAAAGTACGTTTATGAGCGTCATGACTACCAAGGCGAATGTGTGCTATGTAATGGGTTTACGTATACGGGGAAAATATTGTGTGTACGTATATGGAGAAGTACATTTATAAGCATCACGTGTATTATTCCTACCTTCTCCCCTGAATCTCTTATATCGTCTCGTTTTATCTCCACCTTCTCCCCCCTATCCCTTATTTCCCCACGTGTTATGCCTACCCTCTCCCCTCAATCTCTTATTCCCGAACCTGTTACTTCTACCTCCCCCTCACTAATCCCCTCCCCTGCCTGCCTCCTTACTACACCCTTCTAGTGGCGTGATATCTTACAATGCTGGCGTGGTGAGATGAAAGGACTGACCAAGATGTTGTCACTACATGCATACGGCATAGACCTCGACAACCTGCCCCTAAACTCAGCCAAGAAGACCCGCAGAGCCATTCTACGCGACCGCAAGAACCAGGTGCGGTCCGGTTCTTTTTTTTTTGCGTTTGGGGTGCAGGACGTGGGGGGTTGGGTTGCAGATGACTTGGAATGGCTTGCATAAATGCGTATATACCTACATAAAGGAGCGCTTCCGTATATATATATATATACTCATACACGCAATACTCACATTTACATACATGCATACACACGTATACACACATACATATACACATATACTCACATACATACTCCATATACACACATACATACACGCTTATGTACACATACATATCCATATATACACACATACGTATCTATATATATATACTCACATACCCATATATACACACGTACATACCCATATATGCACATACATACTCATATACATGCACGCATACATACTACATACATACCTATATACACACATACATACACACATGTACACACATTCATACTCACATATGCACAATACTCACATATACATATATACATGCTCATATACACACAGGAAGATGAGGTGTTTGCGTCTACCACCGATCTGCATGCGTCTGCGCACATCGCCTCAGCCGTTGGGGCTGAGGGCAGTGAAAGTGCGGCAACGGATGACGACGCTCTACGCACACCACCCGTGCTATTAGAAGTGGAACACCTCAAGGTATGCGTGCATTCTCTTGTATGTGCATGGATACATATATATATATATAAA